TGCTGTTCCTGGAGCCACAGGGGACTTCTTGCTACGGAGCGAGGAAAGGGCCCAGCACCACGTCTGGGACTTGCCACATGAGTTTGTACTCTATGGGTGTTGGGTGGGTTAGTCGAAGGTGCATTGGGATGCTCAGCACTGGCAAGGGGGTGAGGGTCACTACTGAAAAGCAGATCTGCTAGTGCGGGACGCCTGTCTTTGGAGGGCATGTGTGAGACCAGCCGGCCTGGGTCTGGAGCACATGGGCAGGCTGAGGCGTTGCAGTGAGCCCTGGACCCGGCTGGCTGTGTAACCACCATGGGATCATAAAGAAGCCCTACTCTTTAGGGAGAAGGTTGTGGGATCGGTCCTCCTTGGAAGGCTTCCAGGCCACAAACAAAAATACAGTACTTGGCTGGGGACCTTGAAGAGCTTCGAGCACTTGTCTGAAGGCACCTTGAGCTTTGCACATTGACTGTGACCCCCGAGTCTTAGAGGAGGCAGCTGGCTGTAGTGGGCCACGCCACCCGGTGCAAGGCCTGTTTTCTATTTAGAAAAGAATTTTAAGTTAGTTTTTTAAAAAATGCATGAGTTACCAAACTGCATGCCTGATTTGATTCTGCTTTTTTTAGTCCATGTGTGTATGCATATATAGATAAATGTGGGTGAGGAGGGCCCGGGTGGGGCGAGCTCAGATGTCTCTGATAACAAAAAGGTTTCTGGGTGGTTTTTAATCTTTGATCTCTTTAAGTGTTCTGTAGTGAACAGAGAAGAGTTAAAATTCAGAGTCCTCTGGAAAGAGGACTGTCCTCCTGTTCATGCATGAACTGCCCTTTCCAGTCCCTGCCCCCTGAGTGTGTGGACTGGGCTGGGAAGAGCAGCTTAGAAGAAGGACCCCAGAGATTGTCCTATCTAACCCTGCCATTGGATGTGGGGGGAAACTGAGGCTCCCAGCAAGGGCCCACAGGGAGGTCTCTGGCTTCAGAATCCAGTGTTCTTTACTGCCCTGCTCCAGTGGGAGGGTTCCATCCCCTGCACCCACCACAGCCCCGACAGCTGTAGGCCTCGGTGAACGTCAGGGGCTTTTCGGTTTGGGTTTTGTGTTTTTAGAGAAAACTCACATGAGACGCTTTGCTGAGTGCCTTAATGGAGCTCTAACTCAAAGCTGGAAACCGCAGGGAGAGGCCAATTCCTAGCAATCCAGAAAGGCCTGGCTCCAGAAGGCCAGGTTTGAGCAGGTCTTTGAATAATAAAAGTCATAATCATTTATTGAACACCTGCTGTATGCCTCACATCTCAGAGATGGGTAAAACAGCCCCTGCTGGCAGGTGTGGGGGTGGGAGAAGGGGGTCTGGTGGATTGGGTTTTGTGAACCACAGTTAGCACTTAACCCTTTTGTTCATTGCTGCTTCTCATTTGCTTCTTCATACTTTTCTGTCCTTTTCAAGTTTTCCCTTATGAGCACATATTTCCCTCATAATCAAAGAATAGCAGTAACCATCATAACTCAGGTTAATTATTTTGCTTATTTTTGCTGCTGGATGAGGCTTTGAATGATAAAAGTTGTCTCCTCGACTTCCTGCTACCTTAATCACTGCCAACATGGCTTCCTTTTCACTGGAGGCTAGCAGAAATCTGTCCTCCACCCAGATGTCAGAGAATTGCACCATCCATGTTCTGGAACCACAGTTATCCCAGCCCTGACACTCAAAGGACCATGGACCATCCACCCACCCACAGTTCCTAGAACCATGGACTCACTTCAGATTTTGTAGGGAAATGAGATCTCGGAGGGAGGGAGCCTTGAAAGTCATGCTCCTGGGTTCAAATTTCCATTTAAAAGTTTTTGTTTTTTTTTTTTTTTTTAAATTCTAAGATATCCTTATGTGATATCCTTAAAATATAAAGAGCTCTTACAGATCACCAAGGAAAGAGTCAAATGTACAAATAGCAAGGGACATGAACATCTTCCCATAAAAGTAGATCTGCAAGTGGCCAGCATAGACCCATTTCAAAAGGTAGTGATCCAAAAAATAGGTCTGAATACCAGAGAGGTACCATTTTGTAACTACCAAGGTAGCAAACACCGATGTAATGCCTGTTAATTAAATTGGTTAAATAATGTTACCTCTATATAATATTAGACTCATTAAAAACTCATGTTTTCTTTGGCCATGTAATGAGAAGGGAAAGTGCTCTTGACATTCTTTAACAAAACACAGTGGCTAATTTTCTTTTTCCTTTGCTGTGTTGTATACTAAATGATAAGTGCTAATTTAAAGAATCAAGTTGGTGAGACTTTCCAGATCTTTCTGTAAAAACAGAGCATGGTTCTGGGTTGAAGGCTGGAGAGGAGTAGATTCAGACAGAGGAGGACAAATGGGGAGAGGGCTGTCTTGAGCCCGTTCTCACACAGACCTTTGTGTCTCCGTCTGTCAGGTGGGGGTGCTTGTGTCCATCTCAGAGGCCACCTGGGGGTTCAGGGATAGATAGGGCAGGGGGGTGGCCGGGAGGACCCAACCTGTTTCTGGCATCAGGCCCATGGCTCCTGCCAGGCACACCACCCAGGGCCTCCCCAGTCAGAAGCTCCATCTTCCCGTCCTCGTCCCACAAATAAGTCGGTGCCACATTTGTTGAATAAAACATTTAGTTTTAGCAATACCAGGTTTTGGTTTTCCCCATGTCGCCCACTCCCGCCTACCTGCTAATTATTGTTGTTGGCGCGCCCCCCCCTCCCCCCCTCAACTGCGACTTGCACGGAGGTGTGAGTAACTGGGGAAAGACCATGTCCTGGGAGGTCACCTCTGTTTGAGAAAGATGGCATTTCTCCTCCAGATTTGTACATACACGTATATGTACATATACTGTACACGTATGCATCGATGTGTGTCTATTTGTGTGTGTTACACGTATATGAACTTTTTTTTTTCGGTAGGAGGGTGACTTTTATAAATGATCTGATGTTTGGAGGGATAGGTAGGTGAAAATGAGCCAGAAAACTTCCACTGAAGAATTGGAGGAGAAAGTGAGATCCACGGTGAAACTCCAATCATGGCGATGGAATGATAGAGATGTAGGACAGAATTTAAAAGCGCAGAAACAGACCCAAGCCTTTGTAAGGATTTTGCCTCCGATTTTCAAATGAGTGGGGCAAAGTCGTACTGAGGCCACTGCCTTCGGAGTAAAATCTATATTCTGTACCAAAGTAAGTTCCTGAAAGATTAAAGAGTTAAATGTAAGACTGGTCTCTGACGGAACTTGAAGATGTGGGTGCCTGTTTACCTCACTCTGATTTTTCTTTCAAACTTTCCTGCCCCTGCTTCCGAGGAATGATTGTTGGCTGTAAATCCTGAAAAGTTGCAGTTCCACAGAACCACCAACCACAGACAAACAGTGCAGCTAATGGATAGCCTGGCATACTCCCCCAGGCAGCCCTTACCCAGATGATGCTGGGGTGAGGGGAGGGGGCTAGCAGAGGCAGGCTGGCCCCTCCTCCTCCTGAGTGGGGCTCTCACCCGGGAAGGTGGGAAGACCTCATTCATGATGTTTGGGGATGCTTGTAACACATGACAGGATGGTTGGCGGAATCTCTTTAATTACAGAGAGGGTTGCCTGTCGGTAGGCAGAAGCATTTTGAGATGCTGGGCTAGTGTGACCAGCCCATCCCCACCCCAGTCTCTTTAGCTGGGTCTGTTAAGACACCCAGTGCCTGCCCATATTGAGCCCTCCTTGCTTCCAGATTACCAAGCTTTCCCAGTTCACAAACACAGCCCATCCTGTCCCATAATCCTCCACAACCCTGATGAGCAGGCAGGACAACAGCAATCCCCACTTCGTACAGGAAACTGGCGCGGGACGGCCAAGCGGCTTGCCCACGGCCCTCTGTTGCTAGTACAAGTAACAGCACTGGAGTCCAGATGCATGGACCCCAGGGGTTCATCTTGCTGCGGGTCGTGTGTCCATGGGATTCACACATTACCTCATTTCCTTCTATCAAAGTTGGAAGTTAGGAGTTCCGGTTCCTATTTCCTGGCTGAGGAAAGGGAAGAAGTGAATTCTGCTGCGTTTGTAAGAGAAAAAGAGGCGTTCTGTTTCCTGACCCCAGGGGGCTCACTCTTGTCCCGGAGAACCCCGGTCAGACCCCTGGGAGGCGATTGGTGATTGAATCTCAAATTCTCAGTAGGGGATGTGTGTGAGGTTGGTGACACTGAGGCGGGAGTGGGGGGTCCTGCAGGAGGAGTGCCTGGGCGGGGAGGGGCGTGTGTGCAGGGCACCAGCCCGGGAGGGGGGCACGTAACTTGCCCCATCAGCCTCACCCTGCCTGTGTGCGTGCGGGCCCTGGCTCAGACATGCTGACCACATGGCAGGTGGGACACAGATTGTCTGGAAGGAGGCCAGGCTGGGGAGAACGACGTCTGTTCACCCCTCGGGAGGCATTTGCCGAGGCAGATGTACCAGGTAAATGCCGGAATAGCAGCATTTAAGAAGAAAAGTGCCTCCAGTCCCCCCACTGTGCGGCCCACCTTATCTCCTGTGGTACCCAGGACCGTGATGGGGCCCAAAAGGCCCCTGCCCTCCTTCGACCTCTCCAGGGATGTTTCCCAACGGGGCTGTTTGTTCATTCATTAAGTTGTGGATAGTGATTGGTCTGCTCTCCATGCAGCATGCAGCTTCTTGGAGAGGGCACAGACATTTATAAAGGAGCTCGGCTGCCTGGCAGGGGCTTCATAAAGCAGCTGAGAGGCTAAGGTAGGACATCCATACGTTAGCAACAGCCACCGTGTGCTGTGCTCTGCAATGCATGTGTGAAGCGGTGGATGTTCTCCCATTTTAGAGATGAGAAAACAGAGGCTCGGAGAGTTCCTCACTTGCCCAGTGAGAGGCACACCTGGGAAGGTGGTGTTTGAGGAGGGTCTGTGGAGGATGCGGGGAGACAGGGAGAACTGGGGGCCAGGGGTCGGAAGCTCCGGGTCTCTTAGGGTGGGTGCAGCCTCTCACTCTCCCCGTCCTTGTCTCCACAGAGTGCGGCAGCCGCCCCGAGCCCCGTGCTTGGCAACATTCCCCCCAACGATGGGATGCCGGGAGGCCCCATCCCGCCGGGTTTCTTTCAGGTACGTGCTGGCCCCCTCGGTCCCCTGCTCCTTTCGCTCCAGGCCAGGCCCAGGCAGGCGGGAGGGAGGGAGAGAGAAGTAAGTAGTAGCTCAGTTTGCCATGGTCTAAATACAGTTGCTTTATGCTGGTTCCAACCCCTCCCGTCCCTTTCTCCACCCCTTCCAAAACCTGAGGAGGGGAGAAAAGAGGTGGAGGGCAGCCCCCACTCGCCTCCGCACGTGCTGTGTCACTTCTGCCCGAGCTGGTTTTCTTCATACCAGCTTTGAAGGCACCACACAGCCCACCCCTGGTTGGGGAGGCCATGGGACTGCTTCCAAGGCCACGCGTGGGAAGCTGTCTTTTATAACAAAAGGCTTTTTTTTTTTTAAACAAGTAAACTGTTCTTTGTTTCTGTTTTGTTGCTGCTGTCTTCGTCACTGTTTACTTTGCCTGTCCAAACTACAAACCTTAGGCGTAATCTAAAAAAAACCAAAAAACCCGCCATCCTGGCAGGTCTCGGAATCCTTCCCCTCTGGTTAACCACTTGATTTTTTCCGAGTGTGATCACAGTCGGCATCCCACGAGCATCTGCGCCCACACTCCGCCCGCCAAAGGCAGGGGCAGGTCCCACGTGGGGTGAGAGCCCGGTCTTCTCCAAAAGACACCTTGTGTCGGCCTCTGGGGGCTTTGTCTTCTGTCAGGGTTGGGTGTGGCTGCCGGCCCCTCTGTGCCTCCTCCTATCTCCGCGGTACCCTGCATTGGTGGGGGGGGCAGGAAGGGCTCATTCGGTTTTAACCAGGCTGAGACTGGGGAATGCCATCTCAGAGAGGTATCAGCATGCAGGGCTGGAAGGAGCTTCTTTGAGTGTAACGTTTCATTCCTTCAAACCTGTCTGCGGCAGGATTTGAGGACCTGCCTGTGTTCCCCACCCCGTTGAAAGGCTAGCACTTTGTATAGAAAAGGCGGCCAAGATCTCTCTGTGAAGCCCGAGAATTCAAAACTGGGAGCACTGAGACAAAGTCCAAGGAGACTTCTGCTTGGTGTAAGCCAGAATTTCACACCTTGTGTGTCCAGCAGTGAGACGCAGACTGCGGGAGGCAGGGGCTTCCTGTTACTAAGACATCTAAGCAAAAGGGGGACAAACCCCTCTTAGAGATGTTAAGGGGATTTTCTCCCTGGGTGGGAGATGACTTAGGTGACACTTCTACCTTGTAAGATTTCACATTTCGGTTGATCTTGACTCCCAGGAGAGAAGGGTTTGGACGTGCTGCTTACTAACCAAGGAGGGAATCAGTGAAATTTGGGCGTTCCCCAAAACCAGAAAGAGCAGGTTGCCCACCACTGCGACGGCAGTGGGGGCGAGTGAGAGGGGTGTAGGGATGGCGTTTGAGGGCTTTGGATGGCCACACATATATCTGTATACATTCCTAGCCTGACACCCAAACTGGAGCCTTGCCCTGGGGCGGAAAGGGGTACAGCCTCGGAAATGGGGTGTGTAGGCTCTTGGTTAGACCAGACCAGGCATTGCTCAGGGCTTGGCTTGAGGTAAGGCATCGGGAAGAGGGATCAGGCTTGGAAGAGAATGAGACATTCAGACCCTTGGAAACCAAAAGAAAGAAAGGAGCCAGATAGGCTTCTGCTCTTTCCCCGCAGGGGAAGCCCAGGGGCCACTGTCTGAGATAGTCATCCATGCCAAGGGGCAGCCATCTTCCTGGCCACTGTAGACAGGTGTTCTATACCTAGTTGCTTGTCTTTCCCACAGGTGTTCTCTCTGCTTGGGCCTTCCTTCCCAGGCTTATACATCTTCCTCCACGATGCCATGGGCACCCTGGATACAGTGCAGTTGTGGCTTTCCTGCCTGGTGGACAAAGCCCTGGGTACCAGGCTCCACCTGTGTGCATGCCTGGTGAGGCTACTTGCTGGCATCTGAGTGCCTGGTGCAGGCCGCTGTGGTGGGAAGAGGTAGATAATAGCCAGCTGTATTTTTTAAATAGGTCGTTCGTTAACTTCTATTTTGGCCTGAGTCTGGGGCAAGGCAAGGTCTGCCTGATATGTGGGCAGCTCTTAACTTCCCACTTTGGTATAATTGTCCATGGTTAAGGCCTAATTCCAGACATACTTCTCGGGCCCTCCCCTGTGACGTTCAAGGGTGTGTGGTCAGAAAGCCCAGACTGATTCCTGTCCTTATTTGGCCACTTCCAGCCACCATCAAACAGAGGTAACTTTTGGACCCTCTTGAGTGGAGGTCTTTTCTGAACCCCAGTCAGGATGAGCCACCAAGAGTTGGGGCGGGGGGTAGACATGGAGCAGGGACCCGTGTGCCCCGGACTGTCTGCTTCCTGCTTCCTCGGTGACTTTGGCTGACTTTGTCCCCCTCCACGCCCTCCTCAGGTGAGGACATCGTTTTCTAATCAGTCAGATGAAGATGAAGGCGGATAGGGTGCTTCCTGGCTGTGATGCTGACCTACTCAGGCTGGGTCACTGCTGAGGGGAAAGGGTATCTCTCTGGAAGGAGGTAGTAACTGCCCATTTCCGGAGTAGGCCAGCTCACGATGGGAATATTAGCTATTGATTGCTGGCCCTGCCCCTCACTCATCTTGCAGGCGGCCACTCCGATATTAGAAGGGAAATAGAGATGCTATCGGGTTTTATCTGCTGCCAACAATTGCACTTCTTCCCCTGCTTGGCCACAGTCCGGGCGGGCAACTCTGTGGCGGGGGGGGGGGGGGGGGGGGGATCTTTGCACCAAGACAGCCAGCCTGGGTTGGCTGACCCAGCTTTGACCAGATCCCGTCACACGGTGGCCGGCCCAGTTTTCACATCAGGACTCCGCCCCCAGTTGGTGCTAAATTTCGAAGCCACTGGGGCCTCCAGGGTGGGTGGGAGGGAGCAGCTGTCTACCCCCCATCCCAGCGCCTCAGAAAGGAACACGGTGGGCTTACTTCCTTAGACTGCCAGGCTGCAAGGCTACTCCTGGGGTCAGAAGGTGTGGCCATCCACACGTTAGGTTCCGTCTGTTGGCTTTTTCTTATTTGGTGTTGAGGTGTCTAAGGTAGACAGAACCCTGGTCCTGTGTCATGAGATGTGTCTGGTAGCAAGTTGAGGGCTTGCAGAGAGGTGGTTTAGGACCCAGCCTGACCATACCTCACAATATTGGGGAGTATTTGGGGGTTCTTGGGCTTATGGTAGAACTTAGGAAGGACATTCTACTTCTGTGCGTTCCTTGTAAAAAGACGGCCTTCATCTTGGCATCCCCAGCATCTGGCATGCACTAGGGACCCAGCAAATGTTTGAACTGAGTTGATTGGTGTTGCTCACGTTACCAGGAGTGGAGCCCAGCCAGCCCCAAAGCTCTAGGTCCTCATTCTGACCAGGCTTGGAGGGTCCAGGGGTGTGTTCTGGAGTGGGGAAGGATACAGAAGACGATAGCCTGAGGACACCTGTTCTCGTCCCCTGCTTGTCCATGTACTTGCTGAGTGACCTTGGGCAAGTTGCTCCCCATCTCTGGGCCCCAGTTTCCTCACTAGGAGATGAAGCAGGGTGGACCAGATGTTCTCGGAGGACCTTTCCAACTTGGATTTTCTGCTTTGGATCCAGATGGATTTTACATAAGCAAGCAGTGGCATTTTTTTTATTCCCCATGCAGCTCAAGTCAGTTGGGCTGCACATCTGGCAGACTCAGCTTAGTTTTGGCCAGGCCTGCTGGTGTGGGTGGGCCCCCAGCTCCTTGGCCCTAAGGTAGTTATAAGGGAGGCACCCTCCAATGAGGATTTCTAAGTCTAGAGCTGGGGAATGGCAGGAGGGCAGGGGTCACGAAGAAGGGAGCACTGAGTACAGGCTGTTTTTGTTCTTGTTTTGTTTTAAATTCCAGTGATTGTTTTCAGTTATGTAGTGTTTTTAGACCTGCAACTTACTTTCATTTTGATCACAGTGCTTCTGCAGAGGGGCCATGGCTGATTGGGAGAGTGAGACTGGGAAAGGTGAATGACCTGCGCGGAGTTATCAGCTGTGGGCTGTAACCGGAATCTCAGCCCAGGCTTGCTGGTCCTGGATCCCAGTGTTCTTCCACAGCGGTCAGCTACACATCTGATTGTCTAGAGAGAGAATAGAGAACAAGAGCAAAGGAGGGAAATGATGGAGGGAGAAAGAGAAACTCTAGCCATCTTCTCTCAAAAGCAGGCAACGTTTCTGTTCAGACGCCAGCCCTGATGGGTTGGTGGTGGCTGCTGGAACGCTGTTGAGAATGATTCTGAAGCCGTGTGCGGGCTCAGCAGACGCTGATGGGCGACGTCTTTCATGAACACGGGGATGTAAGTGGTGGTATGTGACCTCTGTATTTGCCATGCCTGATCGAGTCCAGGCTTCATATATAGATGCAGAGTGGAGGCCCAGAGGCAGATGGCACTGTGGTTGGTGATAGTGATCAGCACCCTCTGTGAGGGCAGGGGGCTTGACTTTAGGCCAGAACTGATCAACCGTAGTCTGCCCCCAGGAGCACCCAGCCTACCAGAGAGACTTGATGGGTAACCCATGCCCTGTGGCAAGAAATGGGGGGGCCTGCCTGCCCAGGGGCTTCCTGGGGGCAACACGGTCTGGGATGGTGTCCCAGTGAGGTGGATGATAGGTAGGTGCTCAGTAGGAGACGGGGCTGGAGGGTTTGCTGGCAGTGTTTGCTGGACCTTTTGGAGGACTGTGGGCTCCATCCGGAGGTAGTGGGAGCCACTGGAGCACCCTGGTCTGGATAATGCCTCAGCCAGGTCTGTGTTCCAGAACAATTCACTGTGCGCCTGCTCCGTCAGCTCTGTGGTGGCCAGAACCTGGGGGCCGACTGCACTGAGGATGGAGACTGGTATTGCTGAGACCCAGCAGACGTCAAAGGGCTAAAGATAGCCTTCTCTGGAAAGGATAGTCTTGGGAGAATCTAGCTCCCTTTGCCAGAAGCTCATCACATTCTGCTCTTAACATGCCCAGATACTTTCCATTGTAGGGGGGCACAATTGGGGTTGACATGTCCCCCCAT